ATACAATCTGGAAGCAATAATCATTTATAGGTATTTATATATTACCGTTAGGAGTATAAGCATTCCATTACCAAACTAAATATTGTCAAGAAAATTCCCTTGCTATCTACCTGAACCTTAATGGACTATAACACTTCCTTAAATGTACGGTTACGTATTATAAAAGCCCCTTTCCAGGGGTGCGGCTTAGCTGATTCATTGCTTGACCTTAAACCAAACCTATGAAAAGATCGTGGGACAGAAAAAGCTATACTATTTAAATAAAACGCTTTAATGGTTTAAACGCGATTTATCAGTTAAACTGTCGAATAATATAATGAAATATTAGTTAAGCCGTGACCACGGCTGCTGCAAGGCATTTTCAAATAAGTTTAACTAATATATCGCGTTTTAAACCGTTAAAGTGTTTTATTTAAATGTGTACTACTCGCGTAAACTATAGACAGTATTTAGGCTATACTATATTCAAATAATCCTTATTGATTGTCTCGTTTTGTCTAAATTGTTCATTCGACTTCGTCCGCGAGAATCGTTATTTTGGGCATCCAAATTCGTTTTTGCAAACCCCTTCATCTTTATAAACCATGACCACGACGTCGGTCGTGTCCCTTCCCGTCGTTCTTGCAAGTTAATCTTGAAAGATAGATATATAGCAGCGCGGATTTTTTTTAGATCATTTAAAGAGAAATAATTACTTACATATTTTGTAGGTATCTTTACCGTTATCTTAACCGTTTTCGCAGCGTACGCATTCGTAACTTATAAAAAGTTACTTAATAAAATATTCCCATTTTTTTCACATCCCCCCGCTATTTATCAGCTCTTATCTTTTATAGCCTATAGCCTTCCACGACAAATGCTCTAACACTGAACACAGAATTTTCAATTCAAACCCGTAGTTCCTGAGATTAGCGCGTTCAAATAATCAAACAAACTCTTCAGCTATATATATTAGTATAGATTATACTTTAATATTATACTCTGTAGCGTTAATACTCTTCTTTATTAATTTATAGCTTGCTTTTAAGTGGAGTGTTACCCTGCAATTCGGCCCTTGTTGGTTCGAACCAGTGACCTATAACGTCTCGTTCGCCGAAATATTTACAAACACGACTACTGCGTTTCGTGTACGTTAATTTCGCTTCCATAAAAGGAGCCGTTTTCGTAAATGTAAAGGTCTACATTTACCTACCTAATATGTATAGTAGTAGCAAGCTAAACCGGTGATTTCTTTACAATCGTTGTCGACCTTTTAATGTCCTTTAGGGCACAGACAGAACTGGATGGTAGAATGATTTTACGAGCTCAGACCCACCACGCCACTAGTTAACTAGCAGTTAAGTTCAAAATTATAGATTACAAAGGTATGAGCCGAGGTATTTTAATAATTACAATTTTTTATAGTATGAAAGCAGTCAATTGTATTTTAAAAACAAAGCAAGTTAATTTGAATATGTAACAACTTTCTAAATATTTTACGAGAATTAAAGAAAGTAAAATTTAAATAACTTTTAAACTAATACCTATTGTAATTGTGTTTCAAAAAAACGAAAAATTGATTTGAACGGTAATCGAACTCGACATAGGTACAGCTATAACAAATAAAACATAATATAGCTGGTGAGAATTGTCTTAGAGCATAAATAGTACAAAGAAATTATTATTAGCTTTTACCTGGTTTTGTCAAAGATGTCTAAGATATTTAAATAAAACACTTTAACGGTTTAAAACGCGATATATTAGTTAAACTTATTTGAAAATGATTTTTAACTTCGGCTCAACGTTTCGGATGCTTTGCAGCAGCAGTGGTCACGGGAAGAGTAATCTAAACTTTAAAAATATTTTCAAATAAGTTTAAAACTAACTAATATATCGCGTTTTAAACCGTTAAAGTGTTTTATTTAATTGTGTACTCCTCGCGTAAACTATACACAGTACTTATGTCCAAGACAAACACAGGAGCTTGCCAAGTGCAGTCGAGTGACTATTAACCCAACAAAACAATTCCACTTAAAAAAGCACAAAGATTACGCCGCTACGTTACACCAAAATTCGCTTATCTCTCCGTTATGCTAACAATTGAGAGCAATTAGTAAAGTAACGTGTAATTAAGGATAACTGGGTCGCGTGCGTAATCGGCAGACTTAAACCATTTTAAACTTAGCGACTAGATGAAGACTTAGCACAAGACAAGTTTTTCTTCATGGCATCTTTACGTCTTTGTGAATAGATAAAATGTCACCAAGAGTCAAAATCAAATAAACATCATATGCACATTTTAAATATTTACATATTACACTTAAGTTGTGTTAAATCTCATTTCCCCTATCATTAGGACAACAAAAAAAATTAAAAAATAAACACTTAAGTATTTTTATTTTATTGATTTGTTTAATGATAGCAGAGGACAGACAAGCCTGAACTCTATTCACTTGATGGGAGATGAAATACCTCAATACAACAACAAGATCTATCATGTTATGAGGAACCCCCACCGCTAAGTAATGCTTTTTAATGGTTAACTTCGAAACTCTTTACTTAGATTTAAAATTAATTATTAAAGTCTGATCGAACTATTCAACACAACTCACTGTTCGGTAGAATAAACAGACACATAGGATAATAAATATTTTTTGTTGGTTTAGCATTGATTTCTGTATTAAAATAAAACATAAGGCCGTATGTTTTCGTTCTTATATAAATAAACAAACTAAATTAATAAGACACTACATTTCTAGCTAGAAAAGTGAAAAGCCGTAAGTAATTTATACTAGGCCATTTATCACTTATATCTGCTAATTGAAGAAAGTCAGTAGAGATAGGTATGTGCAAAAATGATCTTAATTGAAATGGTCTTAATTAATGATTGTACTCATTTTGTGAAAGGTATGACTTGCTAACAGACATACAGATTGTATATTTTTGTAAGGATATCTTTTATACCGCATTTTTGTACAGTAAATTGTTTACATAAAGATGATTTGACCAACTGCTGTGTATAAATTCGCATAATAGGTCATTTCAGAAATTAAATCAGACTTATAAATGAATTTATCGCTATTTTACATTTGTTTTAGATCTGTTTTATATGGATAATGTAATCACATGTTCTAAAGAAGATTATTCAAAAAATGCATTAATTGAGTCACACAAGCGGTGTGGTTTATATTTTTTACTCATGTTGACTTATTTTAGATGGCTTTGCCTTTATATAAATAAAAAAAATTATAAGCTATTGAAACAAATTCGTTAAGTATTTTTGTTTGATTTAATAATAATAAGAGGTCCTAAGTTATCTTCAAGAAATCATTATAACATGAAAGATTTTTTAATAAATGTGTACTAGTATATTTTGGATAACATTTTTTTATAGATTTTATAGAGAGAGCAAAGCCTTACCTTTGTGCACAGGATTTTCTAAATCTGTTGTGAAGCATCCATGTTCAAAAGTAAACACAAAAATTTCACACTGCACAAATAAGACGCGAAATATTATACGATACTAAATGAAATATGCCCTAGCGAGCTTTGATGATTTCATACGCCCTTTTTCCCTGTACGATGTAAAAATTGGCGAACACTTTTATACCCCACTGCGTCACGAATATTAACTTGTATCGCACATTATTAAACAATTTAGAGATTCGAAAATAAACACACAAAACCACTTCGCGTCTCGTTTATAATATAAAATACAGCGGACTGCAAGTGCAACAATCGCCGATCAGTCTGTCGACTCGCGGAGTCAACAACCGTTTGACAATTGACATAAGAGAAGTCTCCTAGTGTAATAATAAAAATTGATTGTAGCGTCCGATTGATGTTTCGGCTTCGGTTATGGCACAAAAAAGAAAAAGTACATAATTTATCGACTTAAGGAAACGTTTTTCAAAAAATCTAAATTACGTTTTATACATCATTTTTATCAGAAATAAATACTGCGTCGATTAGTCTGGTTCTCATATTTCTACGACGAAAAAAATTGTTAGTGTTTTTTAGTCGTAAGTCTACCAAAAACTACTAATTTTATGCATTTGTTGCTTACGTCATTTTTGCAGTCAGCGAATTTTTCAAACATAGGCTTACTCTAGTTTAGCGGGATGATATTTCTTCAATGCCTACTCTCACGTTCTTTTATATCTGATTTGATTTACTTGATTTAATTTCTATTTGATTTTGTTGAGAATTGACATTATAATAATAAGTTTTAATAAAAGAAGCAATGTTTTTAAAGTCTTTCATTCGTAAAACAGTTTCCCACCCTATTCATTTAAATATACTTCGATACTTCGGCTTCATTTGGTTTCTGGTTGGTAGTTTAGAAGCTTAAAAAAATAATAAATATTCTGACTTTTATGATAACAATAATAACAAAAATTATGTACAGTGTTAACAAATTGCTTTAAAAAGTATGACTAAAAACCATTATAATATAAACTGACAATAGTGACATCTAGTGCGCAAAACACCCGCCAAGTATATCTGCATTGTATAAATTTACAAACTTGTTTAAAATTCAATAATTACGTCTCATTACGGAATAATTCAATGAGACAACGCATTTCTTGTTTGGATGGCTTTTGGAAGTGTATACCTTCACTTCTATAAAGAAAGTGATATTATCCCTCATATCATTTTTTTATTCACGAGTAACAAGTAATTCAAATAAAAACCAATTTTTTCCGGTTTAACGTCCGAAGTGACCACCACGTATTAGAAGCCCAATATGACGTCGATACTTGCTATGTTACTTTCCCTAAACACAATGCGAGATAATTTTTCAGTTGACAATGTACGCTCTCAATAAAATGTCGTATCATTAATATCATACTAATAATTAAGGCAACAAATATACACGAGTTGGTGATTAATACGTATTTAACACAATTGTGATGAAATACGGTGAAATCTAGTGAAACAATTAAAAATAATTAAAAAACGCTTATTTTGAGAAGACTTGAAAGATATAAACATTGATGCAATAGTTTATCGATATGAATATGGCGGGAAAGTCGACGCTATTGCTTGTATTGTGTTTATTATTATCTGCAGCTGCGAAGGATCGTGATTTGAAACAGGTTCTTATTTTGAGCAGACATAACATCAGGGCGCCATTGTCTTCAAATTTAAGATATCTCTCAAACAAGACGTGGCCAACGTGGGAGGTGGAACCAGGCTTTTTAACAGCAAAAGGAGCTCTGTTAGAGCGGCAAATCGGCAATTATATCTCGAACTGGTTAATCGGCAATGGCTTGCTACCTGCTGGGTGTCCAGACCAAAACGATATTCATGTATACGCGAATACAAAACAAAGAACAAGAAAGACTGCAAAGGCATTCGTTGACGGTGCTTTCCAAAATTGTAATATTACAGTTTACAGTAAAAACTCAACTAAAATGGATCCAATTTTTAATCCTATAATTCGCAATAGTTCATTAGATTTGAAATTAGCTATCCTTAGTGAAATGGAGAGGAGTTTGAATAGTTTAAATCTTCGAAATGCTTATGCGAAACTGAATGATATAGTCGATTTGGAACACGCAGATATCTGCAGAATAGAAGGAGTTTGTGACTTTCAAACCGCGAGGGAAGATCTCGTATACGATATAGACGATGAGCCCAACGTGAGAGGTCCTTTGTCCTTTACGAACTCTATAGTAGACGCATTTCTAATGAGTTACTATGAAGGCATGCAAATTGATGATGTTGCTTGGGGACATATCAATTCGCCTGAAGATTGGAAGTTATTCACGCCTATTATACGTGGTAATTTGGACGTCCGATTCAACGGTACAATTTTGTCCAAAGAAGTGGCAAAACCGTTGTTGAACTATGTCTATAACATATTAAAAGACGATTCAAAGAAATTTACGCTTTTAGTTGGCCATGATTCTAACTTGTATTCTGTCATGGCAGCGATTGGAATTAAACCATACAATTTACCAGAACAATACGAATTAACGCCCATAGGCGGAAAGATTGTCTTTCAGAAATGGCACGATGCAAGGACTGGTAAGAGTTTATTGAAGATTGAATATATCTACCAGAGTACGAGTCAATTGAGAAATGGCGAAATGCTGACAGAGAGTAACCTGCCGAAAAGAGTAACGTTAGCTGTAAAAAACTGTGATGTTGATAATGAGGGCCTTTGCCCATGGGACGAGTTTTTGGAAATACTAAAACATACTTTCGAGTAATTTACCTGTGGGTGATAAAATAAATAGCATTTAATTGCAAAATTATATAATACCTACAAATTTAAACAAACACGTGTATTTAACTTAACTACAAAATTAAATTAGCGTTGTCTTATATTATGCTGATAAAGAAACTGTTTAAAATAAACTTTCAAAGGTCAATAATGTCTCTACATGCGCAAATCGTATCACAATTTTTGTGTTATCGTTTGTAATATAACATACTATGCTTGCTAATGTCTAGGTCTTGTATTAATTTAAATTGGGCTACGCTATATAATATACCACAATGTTTAAACAATAGAGAGAAAATACATTTATTTTTATTTAGTTATAAGCAAACCTAGTTGTGTTGTACAGTTATAGGTGGCGGTATACACAAAAAACGTATCAAATAAACTTGTTTAATCTGCGTACTTTGCTGTAAAATTTTGTCACTGTCAACTGTCAGTTACTATAGGACTTACGTCTCCTTTGTTTATAAACGAAGACTAACGCAAATAATACATTCTGTTTATTTTAATGATTTTTATCTATGTTCAATTTTATTATACTTCGTAGTATTTCTATCATTAATATCTATATAAAAAACCAGTTAATTTTCCAATGTTGTAATAGGCATAAATTATAATGTCTAAAGGTTATATCTACACATTCACTGACCTAAAAACCTTTTCAAAAGGTCACTTTTATTATAGTTTTATCTCTTGTCCGAGCCAGTACCCAAAACATAAGAAAATGCTTGCGCGCCAAAGCTTTTGTTTGAGTGTCGCATTGTTTATTTGTCTAACTGTCGCCCTGTTTGTGTTATTATTAATTTTGGACAACAGACCAGTGAATAATTACCAGTTAGAGCAAGTTGTAATCATAAGCAGACACAATTTAAGGACACCCCTATCTAAGAATCTTGAAAAAAATCAGTCCTTTATCATGGCCAGTATGGAAAGAGAAGCCTGGTTATTTGACAGAAAAAGGTTATATGCTAGAAGGTTATATGGCATCTTATTTCAAGAACTGGCTGGACAGGGAAGGACTATTGCCTATTGGATGCCCAAGTAATGAGGACTTTTTTGTATATGCAAACAATATGCAGAGAACTATAGCTTCGGCTGAGGCGTTTACTAAAAATATGTTTACAGGCTGCGATATCAAAATTAACCATAGCAATGATACCTATGACCCAGTGTTTAGCCCTTATATCCACAATGGAACAGATAGTTTTAAAAGGATAGCGATAGATGAAATGAACTCAGTGTTGGAATCCTTAAATTTAAAAACTGAGTATGAAAACATGGAAAATATTTTGGAATACCCAGCGTCTGAGTTGTGTAAAATAGAGACAAAATGTAATATGGCCAGTGAAGAAAATGCCTTAAACATTACAGTTGGTAAGAAACCTTACTTGTCGGGACCACTAAAGTTATGCAATGAGGCGATAGATGCATTTTTCATGGAGTATTACAGTGGATTATCATTGGATAACGTCGCTTGGGGTAAACTCAGTGAGTTGTCGGATTGGCAAAAAATATTACCTCTTACATATGGTTACCATAATACAACATACAATACAACACATATCGCCACAGACTTAGCTAAACCTCTTATTAAATATATATCGAATATTTTCGTTTATGAAACGACAAAAGTCACTTTGCTCATGGGTCATGATGCTAATATTAACGTCCTTTTAAGAGCTTTAGATTTCCACCATTTTATATTGGATAATGAATTTGTATCAACACCGATAGGAGGTAAAATAGTCTTCCAAAAGTGGCGGGATCTGACCTCCAAAGAGGAGTTACTAAAGATTAATTATATTTACCATTCTATAGAGCAAATAAGAAATGCTACTATTTTGTCTGAAAATAATAAGCCTAAGACACATCTGTTGCAATTAAAACATTGTCGTTGCAATGAGGCTGGCTTTTGTCCTTGGAGTGATTTTATTGATATTTTAAATAATTTCAATGTTTTACAAATCTAGTCAATTACAGTTGTTATACATTGACGTATAATGTAAATAATATATTTGTTATGATAACCTTTACTATAAATATACTGTGTTAACTTCTTCTACTTTATTTACGATCCTTAGTAACTTAACATTGTTATCTGATGTTTGTAATAAAATGTGAAATCCTGTTTTCTTTTTTCTATACTAGCTGTGTCAGCGTCTTCGTCCGCCTAGTAATTCTATTAGTCACAGCGCGTTTGATAGCCTTCCTCGATAAATGCTCTGGCACAAAAATAATTTTTCAATTCGAACGAGTATTTTCTGAGATTCGCGTTCAAAGATACAAACGAACAAACTTTTCAGCTTTTTATATTACTATGGATGGGGCGGCTGTTACTAATGAATTTCTTTACCGGCAGGAAGATAAAATAGAGGATGTCATTCCCATAAAAAAATCTTTTCATTTCCCCGAGATTGAACACAGTACCTAGGTACATCTTGTGATTGCAATGTTGGACGTGCTTTTGGGCTAGACGTTATATTATTCTGTTACAACGGCGGTGTTAAGAATTAGATAGCAAATTATTATAATTTAATTTGAAAATCGAAAATAAATTGAAAAAATTTTCGACTCGCGCGGGACTTGAACCGGCATCATCAGCGTTCCGTGCTGTTGCTCTACCAATTGAGCTACCGAGTCCTACACCTCATCGTCAATTTTTTTCAACTTCTTGATACATGTACCTATCGCGCTATGTAGTTTCAATTTATTTTCGATTTTTAAATTATATAGTGCCTTCATGTGCAATAACATGTAAAAATAATAAAGTTATTATAATTTATTAACTTCTAGTCTGCAGTTTTAACGTTAAAGGGGTCCCAATAAAAATCAAGACCTATTCATATGAACTATTGCATACATTTGTAAAAATTCAAAACAAATTAGTAAAAGCTCTGTATTAACAACCGTTTAAACTAGAGATATTACACACAGTACCTACAGCGTACACATATTTAAATAAAACACGTTTAATGGTTTAACACGCGAAATATATTAATTAAACTAGTTATGGTTTCAAACAGTTAAAGGTGTTTTATTTTATTAGCTATAGTATAAGCAAATTTGGCAGACCTTTCATAGATAAATTTGATATTTTTTTCTTCATTTGTCAAAAATTGTTCTGGCAGAAAAATGTCGAAATTGTTGTTTATTTAGAATTTTATCCGAAATTACTGTAGTTATCTAAATTATTGTGACCGTAATTTGATCCAAATTTTCAAGTATAAAACATGTCTTTGAAATGCCCGACTCGTCTACCAATTGTGTTGAGTGCTCATAAAAAATGGCTCGAAACTCTTGCAGCTGCTCAACAGCTTATTGAGAATGATCTTGACTTGCAGGTAAGATTTTTGTGCCCAAAGGATAGCTTTCTTATGCTCTATACTTCCATTTTGTTACCTTCCTAGCGCACAGATAAGAAGGGGTGTAATTTTGTATGCCTTTTCAACCCTTCAATGATGAATATGATAAAACCAATACACAAATCAACAAATAAGACTTTATCTACTAAAATTTTTAGATACTCTCTAATGTTTACACGAGTAGTTTAAATGAAACACCTGTACGGTTTAAATCGCCATATATTAGTTAAACTTATTTGACAATGATTCTCCCCGTGACACGCCTGCTGCAAAGCATCCGAAACGTCGGTCCGAAGTAAAAATAATTTTCAAATAAGTATATAAATAAATTTCTAATATATCGCGTTTCAAACCGTTAGTGTTTTATTTAAATAATTTTGGAATTAAGCAATAGCATATCAATACTGCAGATGTCATAAGGCTTTATCCAGTCTTGTTTGTCTGTCTTTCGCCATCTGCCAGAAAAAAAGTATATACTGTTAGTGAATAAGTTTGTTTTGTGACATTGTAACTAGATGTCGCTAGTTAACATCTAAAACACGCAATCAATATTGTCTATAGCAACGATTAGGCAGTTTGTATATTATGTATCAAAAAAAACCCAATAAAAACCTAATTACCACTTGTCGTTTATTTATACCACAATTGAGTTCAGAGAAGTGCATTCATTTTGGTCCAAACGAGATCGGATATCTCAGTGAAACGCAACGGTTAAGAGGGTTATTACACTTGCGGATAGTGGATTGCTATCACAAACTCGCAAGTATCAACAGGAGCGGATGGATGCTGATCAAGCCAGCATCATCAGCTTCGGACTATATCTTCAGAGGAAGACATTGGTCAGGAAAACATCAACAAGTTATAAGTGTCTGGAGACACCGGCGCAGTAGCAGCATCAACGACGCATCAATTCAAGAAGTGTCGTGTCACCGTGGGCGGAGGCAGTCTATGTTGCTGGGAGCAACTGATCTGAAGATAGCCACGAGTGAAGGTCAACCATACAGTCCACAACTATTGAACGAAGTCTACAGCAGTGAAATTATCAGTAAAGTGTCAAACGTCACCCAAATTGACGTTAAGTGAAGTGCAATCTACTCTGGGAGAGCAATATCTGTGGTATAGAGTGAGTCAACATAAACTGTGAGTACTTTGTCATTGTCAAAATAATAGAAATGTCATATGGACTTTAAACTTTTAAAATAGTTTGTTTATGTAATTTAGAAATTAATGCATGTTCAGTTTAGACTTAGAATAATTTCTTAAAAAGAGTTCAGACGGGGAACCTATGCCCAAATTTCCTTTGATATATATATCATTTAAACACTTAGAAAAGTTGTGAACAATTTTGTTACAAGTAATTATTGTGTGCAATAGTATAAAAACAACATATAAATATGCAGTCTCTAATAAACTTTCAAGTTGATTTGTATTCTCGCATAAATAAGGCAAGAACAAACTTTAAAAAATCTCCTAAAGAACGCATTAGTAAGCAAGTTTATATAGAAAATAGAATTGAGTCAGTGGATCAATTGTGGGTTGAATTTTTGTCAGGCCACAAAGAGTTAATGAAAACTTGTGAACTTAAAGACTTACAGGCTACTGATTACATTAGAAATGATATCTACGATAAAGCTGAGGAAATTTATTTGGAATACAAAAGCGAATTAAAAGAACATTTCAATGAATATAGACATAATGACTCGCGTCAGTCTGGTTCAGATAAGACAAATCCTGTTCACAACATCAACATAAAATTACCGAAATTACAGATCCCATTTTTTTCTGGTGATTATTCACAGTGGTTAACTTTTAAGGATTTATTTAGTTCATTAGTCATAAACAATCACTCTTTAGATAATGTGCAAAAATTGCATTATTTAAAGGGATATCTGACAGGAGATGCCGAACAGTCAATTAAACATATACCATTAGAAGGAGTAAATTTCAATAGATGTTGGGAACTATTAGAGTCAAGATATAATAATAAAAAGTACATATGTTATAATAGCCTAAAAACATTATTCAGTCAGAAAAATATGACAATAGAATCAGCTGATGGGTTAAAAAGTATTGTAAACACAACAAACGATTGTTTAGCAACATTAAGTAATTTAGGTATAGATGTTAAGTCCTGGGATGTATTAATTATACACATTTTAAGTTTAAAATTAGACTCTGAAACACGCCGGCAATGGGAATTTGATGTGACATCAAATATTCCTTGCGATGAGTTGCCCACTTATGATCAGTTTCAAGATTTTTTGAGTAAAAGATATCGTGCCATAGAATTTATTAATACAAAATCTAATGTTACTAAAAATCAACAAGTTAAAATTAAAACATTTCATGTAAGCAATAGTTCATGTCCATATTGTTCGGAAAGCCACAAGTTGAGTGCATGCAACAATTTTCACAAAACAACAGTTGGTAATCGTCGCAACTTTGTTATGAAAAATAACATTTGTTTTAACTGTCTTGGATCAAATCACTCTGTTAAAGAGTGCAAGTTAACACGCTTTAAATGCAAGGAGTGTAATCGAACCCATCATACTCTCCTGCACCCCACAACGGGTAACAATACAGCTGAAGGTGGCCAAAGCACTAGTCAACAGGGGGGCTCAACCTCGTCAGCTGATCCAACATCACTTGTTTCATGCTTCTCTAGACAACCGGTCAAACAAGTATTGTTAGCTACAGCTTTAGTAAAAGCTCAGGCTAGGAATGGCACAGATTATATAATTCGAGCGCTTCTTGATCAAGGTTCTCAAGGTTCATTTGTCACTGAAGCAACGGTACAATACTTAGGTCTGAAAAAGATACCAACAACAAACAAAATTAGTGGATTAGGTAAAAATGAAGGCTTAATCTCTAAGGCAGTGGTAATAATAGATATTAAGTCTAGAATCTATCCGAATATAAGTATAACTGTAAAAGCTCATGTCCTTAAAAGCATTACATCAATGCTTCCATCTAGAAAAGTTGAATTACTAGACTGGAAAGAACTTAATAATTTAACTTTAGCCGACCCACATTATCACTCTCCCAATAAAATTGATATTTTATTAGGTGCAGAAGTGTACAGTGAATTAATAAGGGATGGAATCATGAAGGGTCCACAGGGTACTCTGGCCCAAGCTACAAGTTTAGGCTGGGTGTTATCAGGTGGCATAACAGCTGTAACTTCTAAGGCATCTCAATCTATCCACACAATGCATTGTTGTTTAGAGGAAAAAGATGCATTGAAAAAATTCTGGGAATTAGAATCAGATATTCAAATGCCAAGAGAGAAGCTCTTGACAAAACAAGAAATTTATTGTGAAGAATATGTTGAAAAAACACTTACCAAGGATAGTGATGGTAGGTACATTGTTCGTTTACCTTTTAATACTGATAGTCCAGAGGTCAAGTCATCTCAGGAAATAGCTGAAAAAAGATTAAAATTATTAGAAACAAAATTAAGTAAGAATAAAATATTAAAAACAAAATATCAAGAAGTTATAAATGAATACTTATCTTTAAATCACATGGAAATAGTACCTAATGATGAAATAAAAAATAAAAAAGCAGTATACTTACCTCATCATGCTGTGATAAGAGATGATAAAGATACCACAAAGGTAAGAGTAGTGTATGATGCATCCTGTAAAGGTACAAACAATAAATCATTAAATGATCAACTATTAATTGGACCTACCTTGCAGCCGGAACTAAGACATATTATTATGCGATGGAGATCTGCACCCATCTGTATATCGGCAGATATAATCAAAATGTACCGCCAAGTAAAAACACATAGCGATGATAATGATTTCCAAAGAATACTTTGGAGAGAGGAACCAAGTCATGCAATCACACATTATCGACTTACCAGGGTTACTTTTGGCACAGCGTCAGCTCCTTACCTTGCAGTTAAGGCACTTCAACAAGTGGCTCAGGACTATGGTGCTGAATATCCTGCTGCTGCTGGAAGAATATTAAGCGATTTCTATGTAGATGATTTTATGAGTGGTTCTCAAACTTTAGAGGAAGGAGTGAAAGTATTTAATGAAGTAAATAATTTATTAAACAAGGCAGGGTTCACATTACAAAAATGGAATAGCAATAATGATGAATTAGTAAACATTATGAAAGGAGAAAGCAGAGATACCAATGAAGGATTAGAAATAAAACAAAATGAATTAATCAAAATCATGGGGCTTACCTGGAATCGCAGAGATGACACGTTCCGCTACACAGTGAATCTGGCTCCTTTGCAGAAACCTGTAACAAAGAGAAAAATTATTTCCGACATTTCAAAACTTTATGATCCACTAGGATGGTTGGGACCAAGTATAATAATACCAAAGATAATGATACAAAAACTATGGTTAGCAGGATTAGGTTGGGACGAAGTCGTTCCTGATCATTTAGTAAATGAATGGTTACGTTATCGTGAAGAGCAAAAAGAATTTAGCAAAATATACATACCAAGATGGAATGGTACTCGAACAGATGATTGCACAGTAGAACTGCATGGCTTCTGTGATGCATCGAAATCAGCATATGCAGCAGTTGTATATATGCGTGTAGTCGACTCAGAAGGAAACGTCAATGTATCATTAATCTCATCCAAGACAAAGGTGGCACCTGTAAAACAGATATCTATACCAAGATTAGAATTATGCGGAGCAGTGTTACTTAGTAAACTTATATCAGAAATTGCCAAGGTGATGGCAATCGACAAAAGCAACTGTCACGCGTGGACTGACTCTACAGTTGTCCTGGCTTGGCTTAACAACCACCCAAACAAATGGAATGTATTTGTAGCCAATAGAGTTTCAGAAATTCTTACCAGTTTAGAGCCACAAAATTGGTCACACGTAACATCAAAGCAAAATCCAGCAGATTGTGGATCCAGAGGTGTTAATCCTTCTGAATTAGTTAATAATGAACTGTGGTTTCGTGGTCCAGATTTCATTTGGTCAGAATCTATAAATTACAAAAAACCTAAAAATATAACCACAGAATTAGAATCAATTAAAACACATTGTAGTACGATAGAAGTAGAAGATGAACCATTTAATAAATTTTCTTCTTGGAGTAAGATGATTAGAGTTATAGCATACTGTAAACGGTTCATTAATAATTTAAAAAATAAAAACAATAAATCAAATAAAATTATTAAACCTTACCTTACATTGAATGAAATTAAAAACACTACATTATTTTGTATAAAACAATATCAATCAATTCATTTCAGTAAAGAATTAAATCTTATATTACATAAAAAAAACTTACCTAAAAATAGCAAAATTAAATCCTTAAATCCATTCCTTGATGATAAACATGTTTTGAGAGTAGGAGGTCGGTTAGAAAATGCACAATTAAATTACAACAGTCAGCACCCAATTATTATACCAAAAGTATCACATATTACCCAACTAATCATTGCAAACGCTCACATACAGACGCTTCATGGTGGGCCTCAAATAATGACTACCTATTTACGCAGTAGTTATTGGATAATAGGTGTAAAGCAATTAGTAAAGTCATATGTCCGTCATTGCGTAACATGTATTAGGTACGCAGCCACAAAAAAAACACAGCCGTTGATGGGTCAGTTGCCTAGCGTACGGGTCAATCAAGGTAGACCTTTTAAAAGTAGTGGAGTGGATTATGCTGGTCCTATCAACATAAGAACTTCAAAGGGTCGAGGACAGCATTCCTACAAGGGATATATATGTTTATTCATTTGTATGGTCACCCGGGCCATACACATTGAAGTGGTAAGTGATTTAACATCACAAGCATTTTTGGCCGCTTTCAAGCGATTCGTGTCACGTCGAGGTCACTGCTCAGACATATGGAGTGATAACGGAACTACATTTGTTGGAGCAGCCAAGGAACTTAGAAAATTATTTTTCGGAGAAGAAGCCACAATTCCTAAGGAATTAGGTTCAAACTTCGCTGAAAATGGCACAAACTGGCATTTCATACCACCCCATGCTCCAAATTTCGGTGGGTTATGGGAAGCTGGTGTAAAATCTGTTAAACATCACCTTAAGCGAGTCATCGGAGAGTCTACTTTAACTTACGAGGAGTTGACGACTGTTCTTGTGCAAATTGAGGCATGTCTCAACTCACGACCTTTAATACAATTAACTAACCAATCTGACGAAACAGACATCCTTACTCCGGGCCATTTTCTCATAGGGGAACCCATAATTAGTGTTCCAGATTATAATTTTGAAAATAGTAATATCAGTAGTTTACGTAGATGGCAACTAAGCCAAAGAATGACCCAACAATTCTGGCGACGTTGGTCACAGGAATATTTAAATTGCTTAATACAGCGTCATAAGTGGACAGCTCAAAAAGATGAGCTAAATTTTAATGATATTGTCTTAATTAAGGAGGACAATATGCCTCCATCACGATGGCTTTTAGGCCGTGTAATAGACAAACACCCTGGATCAGATGGGATCACCAGAGTAGTTTCTCTACGCACAAAAGGTGCCATTATTAAAAGGCCAACATCAAAATTATGTCTGTTGCCTAAGCAGTAGCTATAGCCTTTAGTAAATAAGCAATTTTGTTGTATATTTTTTAAATGTAAACATATAAGGTCAAAGGTCTTTCTTTGCCCTTAGTGGGCGGTATGTTAGTGAATAAGTTTGTTTTGTGACATTGTAACTAGATGTCGCTAGTTAACATCTAAAACACGCAATCAATATTGTCTATAGCAACGATTAGGCAGTTTGTATATTATGTATCAAAAAAAACCCAATAAAAACCTAATTACCACTTGTCGTTTATTTATACCACAATTGAGTTCAGAGAAGTGCATTCATATACTATTGATACTAAAATAAAACTAATTGGCAGAAATGAAATAAAACATTTATATAAAAGGATATAGTGCACGCCAATTGCAATTGGAGATAAAAAAAAATATCGCGGGCGGGACTCAAACCCAGGACCGTAGCCCGTTAATATTGTACACGCTGATGTCAATCTAAGAACGGTGCATAGGTTGTTGGAAAAATTTGATAATGGCGGACATGACAGCTCAATTTCATTTTATGATAAAGGAGGACAGGCGAGAGGGGTATTCCCCAGCCATATAACATCTACACAAGGTGCGCCGTCGACCTATTTTTGCTATGGATATTCGAATAATTGAATTAGTGAACACAAAACGCTTATGTCGCGGATTCGAGATCTGCCTATATAATAAACTAGTTGCTAACAAAAACTTTCAAAGATAAATAATTTATCTATATTTCCATATTTTCCACATTCCCGCTGTTCCTATGCTCCTATTGGACGCATGATGTTTTAAAGCCTAAATCGTTCCTCAATAAAGGCTCTAACCATCACAAAAAGAAATTTTCCGATTCGTAATAGTAGTTCCCGAGATAAGCGCGTTCAAATAAACAAACTTGTTAACTTTTTATATTAGTAATAGATTGACATTTTTGTAGGAAAAAGCGGCTAAAGGACTTTGGTTGAAGGAGAGACGGGTGCCCCCAGAAGTTCTAGGTACAATCTACGCTGAATACTGCGACCTTATCAATAAAATGTACGAGGCGTATCTAACTAGTGTCCATTTACAAAGAGCGCCGTACATACTGAATATTATTAGCGTTTTTATGAAACGGTAAGAAGAAGAAGAACTTATATATGATCCGTGCCACTTTCTGCCTTATAAGTCCATATGTATAATACGGCCGACGTAACTTGGCAAGTCTGAACAAAGGTTAGACGCATGTACACTCGTAAAGAAAACTAATACTGCCATTTATTTTCGTAACTGGGATCAATGAAAGATTTTACCTATAGCAAGCAAAAGTTACATACTAATAATTGATTCAAAGAGAATCAGTGCTACGAACACTTATCTTTCACTAAAATACTGAGACAAAACAAAAATATAATAAAAAAGAAATATTAGTATTAAATTTAACAATAAACAATCACTTTTCTAACGGACTGCGCTCAAGACAGAGATAACGAAATAAACGCGAAGGAGTGACCGAGACACACTACTTTTTACCGAATATGTACGAAGCTTTACGAAATAACCAAATAAAGATGTCCAATCGCCCAAATAAGTGGTTTACCACTTTTCGAAGTGTATCGTTAAATCGATTCCTGTTGAAATAGACAAAATCGGATCGTAGAAATATATTTGTATAAAAAGCTTTAAAGACGGTAAAAATATGTAAAAACAGTAATTATATTAAAAATAACTCATATTTAACTAAATCACGTCGTTCAATAAAGAAAAACAAGTTTTTAATGACTTTATTTTCCTTTAAAAGTCATCATGGTATTACATATTTATTAATTTTCGTTATTACTTACTATTATACTTATACTTTCGTTTACCGCCTGGTTGTGAGTTCAGCGAGGACCTTGGTACTCTTTCATCCGTCATTCTGTGTACATGTCCTAGCCACTTAAGTCTATTTCTATTAATGAATTGGACGATATTCGTGTCGCCATTTATTTTGTATAGTTCGTCGTTATTTCGGACTCGCCAAACGCCGTTGACACAGACGGCGCCAAAGATTCTGCTCGAGTATCTTTCGCCCGAAGATTAGGACACAAGATATACGATATCACATTTTAAATAGGACTGTAGCACATTTTGACTGTATTACTTTTGATACAGGAGGTTGGTGAAATGCTCTAGTCATATAACATTCTATATAAGATTTGGGATTCAATGTATTATTTAAAATCTACAGGCAAAATTTCTTTCATTAGAATAATGTCGGGCCCGGTGTGGATCGCACCCGTTGAATATTAGGCATAAATTGCTACAATTCCAATTTATTTAATTTAATTTGTATCCGTATTTATGAAAGTATATGTTCCAATCCAAGAATATACCAAACCGACATATACTACTTGGTCATATACTGTAGTTTCACACGGATCATCTTCATCCTCCTATGTCATAGTACATTATTAATCAATACATTTTGCGTTTTGAACCGTTAAAAGTGTCTTATTAAACCTTACTAGGTTCTTTTTCACATAGTTCTATTAGAAATTCGTTAGTTACGTTTTTACGACATCAAAGTGAAATTATGTTGTGAAACTTGTTTTTTTTTACAGTTTATATGAGTTGCGTAACGAACTGGTTCATCTCATAGTTAACGATTACATTTATGTTGATGATGCCCTAATAATAACTAGACGTACTCCATTCGATATTCAGGTAAGTTTAGGCCCTGCGCAAGCGCAATTCTATTTCAATTTCTTCTTCCTGTGTCTTCTTTGTTTATCAAATTAATTTGGAGACAAGTAATTGATAGTTTGATTAAAAATTATTAGTTTTTTAATTTAAATCTTTGTCTGTTGTTTACGCGAGTAGTATACATTTAAATAATGGTTTAAAACGCGATGTATATTAATTCGCCAAATACCAACTACGACGGAACAGATGGCACTAACGTAGCAGTTTTACTTTGACATCAGAGACACTCTCCATATTTATATCTCCCTGTAACTATAATAAAGTGTGAATAATTTCATTAAGTTTTAAACCGTTAAAGTGTTTTATTTAAATTAAACCTTTTCTGACTCTTTCATTAACACGCAGATTATTGTACCGTACCACCTTCCATTGGAATGTAGAGAGGATTCCATGGAACAGCTTTTGCAGCACATGTGGTCTGATACCGTTGCTAGGAAGTCTGCTCCTCCACCCAAGGCAATATATGATATACTACTTATAACTTGGCAAACATTTAAAGCAAGATATAAAAAAAAATATCTCTCTTATAATTTAATTACTTATTATATAAGTTATATCCGTAGTTTACGCGAAAAGGACACATAATGTAATACTTTCAACGGTTACGATAACGCGATATACATACTACTTAACTTATAGCAGTTAACGTATACGTGCATACGACCCAAAGTTTGCAAAGTATCCGATACCTAAAATGAGTTATATACATTGCATTTTAAACTGTTCAATAGGTTTTATTTTGACTTATTAATTACTTAAATGAGTTTTTGGGACTTCTCTAAACTAAATACAAAAGCAAAATTTCAAAACTAAAGCCGACATTATACAGTGTGTTCTTATTTCATGATTATCTTTTACTGTCCAGGATTACGTTTCTCAAAATGTATTCGATCAAGACACTGACTTTCCAGTTGTGGCGCCTGCAAATCCATTTATTTCCGAAGTGAAAACAATTGAAGGTATCACGTCTTATTTATAAGTGCTTAAAGGTTTATTATTTATATATTGTTATTTTCAGAAATCAGCGAACACACAATATACTCAGAAGATTATCTTCATGCTAATATAATACAGAGACAGGAGAGGTTTCGGTATGAATATACTATCTTTATAAGTATTTTTTTTTACTCCTGCGCATTTATAAGAGAAAACTAACAATACACTAAAAATTAAGTTTGCTAAAATCTTCAAACAGGATTTTATAAACTCATGTCTCCGTTTAAAAAGTTTTATTACAAAAGGAAACACTTTAAACTAAACGAGCCAGTTGATATTGACAATTTGGCGTTGTTTTAAGATGGCGCGAAATCTTAATTACGTTTCTACACATAACCCACAGAGTATAAATATCTCGTAATAAGATACGTTTCGTTTCACGTATTACTACAACGGAGAATTTTTTATTATATATATATAGAAAATTATAACCAAATTTTTTTAGACGGTTTTTCATAGAAGACTTTATAGCGAAAGGTAAGAGGCAACGCGTATATTTCGCTGATACTGTGAAAGAAGCGCCATTGTTTATGAGAATATCGGCAGCCATCTTGATTCAAAAAGTTTACAGGTGAGTTTGAAAGTAGATATAACAAACAAGTTACACTCTAAACTTTTAAATTGGACCCAACTATATCTCATACTGCTATCCAAAACGGACTTGTTGCGCAATTGTAGTAATAAAGAAAATGTTTGCTTTCTTCCTCCAGCCGGTAATCAATCCCCTTCAGTATCCAAAATGTTTTAAAAATAAAATTATTATTTTTTTATAAGAGTCTGGAAAATATTGACATTAAATGGGTGAATACTGTCTATAGTTTACACGAGTAGTTTAAATAAATCACTTTAACGGTTTAAATCCCGATATATTAGTTAATCTTATTAATTTTGATTTAGGAATTAAGCTTTGTTTGGTTTTAGGAGGTTTATGCAAGTAAAGCGAGAACGTGTTATCAACACAAAAAGGGATATTTTGTTAGGCCTGCTCCCGGACCCTTTTAGTAAAGGATTCAGTTTGGAAGAGGAAAATAATAAGGTGTGTAATTCTGAAATGAAATATCGCGTTTCCATATATGAATATAAATATTTACTCGAGGACACCGTTAGTCAATTCTCCAAGGACCCGGCCAGTTTCGCCAAATACCAAATACATCGGAACAGATGGCGCTAGCGTAGCACTGTTACATACATTGACATTAAAGACACCCTCCATCTTTATCTCTCCATGACAATGACTGCTGCAAAACATCCGAAGCGTCGGGCTGTATTTAAAATAAATTATAAATTAGTTTAATTAATATATTTCGCGTTTTAACGGTAAATAAAGGTGCTTTACTTGCGTAATTTGCAGATAGTACTTATATACTACATATATGTACATAATTTGATTTTATAAGTAACAGTCTGCCTGTTCAGTTTTTCTAGGTTGGTCTTGTGTCCTTACCAACTATGGTATATAGTCATAATTTTTTTCAGATGTATGAACGTAAACGCAATATTCGCTCGAGACTTAAAGAAAAATATGACAGGGCGTTTGAAAAGGAGAACATAAGACTTATTCTATTTAAGAAGGATCAGCAGATTCATGATATAACTGAGCATGTGAGGACTTGGTTCAGCGAATGGTAAGACAATGGACATAGAAAAGTGAGATCCCATATTAGCGCAGACGCATTTCTGTCTGTTGTATTGATTAAATATATTTACGGACTTCTGTGCCCTGTCCGACCGGAATTATTTGTGTTTATTTAATCTGTATTATCTATAACTATACTAATATATAAAAGTGAATTTGCTTGTTTGTTTGAACGCGCTAATCTCAGGAACTGCTGGTTCGAATTGAAATCATCTTTTCGTGTTGACTAGATTATTTATTGCGGGGGACTATAGCCTATGAAATATCGCGCTGCGACACGATGTACAATGCGAAAACGGTTCAAGATACCAATAAAACATGTATGAAATAAAGATTGTCTTAAAAATCTAAAAAATATTCGACTCGGGCAGAACTTGAACCGGCATCGTTCCGTGCTGTTGTTCTACCAATTAAGCTACCGAGTCCTACATCTCATCGTCGAAATTTTAATAAAGATTCTTTAAATGATCTAAAAAAAGTTTATATCTTTTAAGATTAATTCGCAAGAACGACGGGACGCGGTCGATGTCGCGGGTAACAGCTAGTTTACAGATAAATCTCTTCTAGGTTTTATGGCTACGGATTCTTTCCGGATTACCCTTATGATGCTGAAGGTGGAACACTAATGGTGATACGTGGTGATTATCCGACGATACAGGAGAAGAAGGAAGATGATGAGAAATATTTTGCGAGCATTAAAGGAAAGACAAAAGAAATGGTATGTCCCATGTAGTGGGATACCCTTTCTGAGTTTGGTCCGGGGGGTCTGAGGTCGCTGGGTTACTGGGTCAAAAATGGACATCAATTAATAAACTGTTGATGACAAACTGGTGGTGGTGGTTTTTCACTTAATAAACCCGAAAAAATTTAATAACTGCTGTATTTATAATTTCAGTATACTTTTAAACCCTGTCTATAGTTTACGCGAGTAGTACACATTTAAATAAAACACTTTAACGGTTTAAAACGCGATATATTAGTTAAACTTATTTGAAAATGATTTTTAACTTCGGCCCGACGTTTCGGATGCTTTGCAGCAGCCGTGGTCACGGGGAGACTAAAGATGGAGGATGTCTCAGACGTCAAAGTAAAGAATTGCTACGCTAGCGCCATCTGTTCCGTCGAAGTTGGTATTTGGCGAAACTGGCCGGGTCCTTACAGAATTGACTAACGGTGTCTTCGCGTTTGCTGGTATGCTGTTTATTGGGATCCAGAGTTTTTAATATGGGATCCCAGGTGTTTGATAGTTTGAGGCCGTCCTCCCTATTGAAATTTCGGTGTTTTTTGATTTCAATTGCTTCGCGTACCAATCTTGGAAAAAATCGACTCTCCTTTGCGAGGATTTTTGGTTGGTCAAAGCGAATGTAGTGATTGGGCCCTTCTGATGAGTGTTGGCATACCGCAGATTTGGAGAGACGTTTATGTTTTATATCCGCGACGTGTTCTTTAATTCTGTTTGAGATGCTACGCTTTGTTTGGCCGATGTAGGATAGGCCACAATCACAATCCAGTCTGTAAACGCCTGCATCTTGTAAAGGGATAGTACACTTGCTTGGTTTCAGGAATTGCTGAATCTTCTTGTGCGGCTTGAAAATTGTGTCAATAGAAGCTCGATTTAGGACTCTGCTAATTCTATCTGTAACTCCCTTCACATATGGTAGGTAGGCGGGCTGACGTTTGACTGTGGGTGGCTTGTTCCTGTTCCTGGGATGCTGCGGAGGGACTCTCAGCTTGTTCTTGCATAGGACCTGCTTGACATGCTGTAACTCCTCATTTAAGTGGGCAGCATCACAGAGACGGCGGGCTCTCTGAAACAAAGATACTCCGACAGAACTAAGTTGGCTGGGGTGGTGATGTGAGTCACCGTTCAAATACCTATCTGTATGGGTTGTTTTTCTAAAGACGGTATGCCCAATATTACCGTGTTCATCACGAATTACTAAAATGTCTAAGAAAGGTAGTGTGTTATTGTCCTCCTGTTCCATTGTAAACTTAATGTTATTGTGAATTGAGTTAAGGTGTGTAAGAAATGCAGATACTTGTGCTTTGGGTAAGATGGTGAAGGTATCATCTACGTATCGCTTGTAAAGCTTAGGTTTAACAAAGGACTAAATTTTGCTCCGGCGCCGCGAAAAATACCTTGCGAAGAGATAATCAGCTACGTCGAGGAAAGCATCTTCAAAAATGTCATCCCTAAGGAAGATGCGGAAGCAATACGGCAGGATATATCCTGTATCCTACGCTCCAGCAAGCCGCCTAAACACAATCTTTCCCTAGCGGAGTCGACTGCTCTCAAACAACTAAGAGCGAATGAAGATATTATAGTACTGCGTGCTGACAAGGGAAACGCCACGGTCGTGATGGATACGTCGGACTATAAACAAAAGATGTCGGAAATACTTGATGACGACGCGGTTTACAACAAGGTTGCAAAGGACCCCACAACCAAAGTAATGAAAAAGACGTCGGAACTTATTAACAAGTACAAAACGACTCTAAACCTCGACGCCAAACATCTCATCACAGCCTGCCCGAAGCCACCTAAAATGTACGGGTTACCTAAAATTCATAAATTAAACAATCCCTTACGTCCAATAGTTAGTCAAATAGATTCGCCCACTTATAAACTAGCAAAACACTTATCCAGAACACTTGCCCCCCTCAGGGGAAATACAAATGCTCACGTCAGGGATTCGTATCAGTTTGTAGAAACTATTAAAGGTCTAAAGGTAGCGGACAATGAGGTTATGGTAAGCTTTGACATCACATCACTCTTTACAAACTTACCTATAGCTGATTGTATCAAAATTATTAAGAGCAAACTTATTAAACACAACATGCCTATAGAATATGCGGATATCTTAGAACATTGCTTGACAACCGGGTACCTACTTTGGAATGGGGATTTCTATGTTCAGGTAGATGGGGTAGCCATGGGTTCTCCAGTTTCACCCTTAGTTGCTGACATTTTTATGGAAGACTTTGAGGAGAGAGCCCTTGCTTCTTCCCCGGTTAAACCTAAGCTTTACAAGCGATACGTAGATGATACCTTCACCATCTTACCCAAAGCACAAGTATCTGCATTTCTTACACACCTTAACTCAATTCACAATAACATTAAGTTTACAATGGAACAGGAGGACAATAACACACTACCTTTCTTAGACATTTTAGTAATTCGTGATGAACACGGTAATATTGGGCATACCGTCTTTAGAAAAACAACCCATACAGATAGGTATTTGAACGGTGACTCACATCACCACCCCAGCCAACTTAGTTCTGTCGGAGTATCTTTGTTTCAGAGAGCCCGCCGTCTCTGTGATGCTGCCCACTTAAATGAGGAGTTACAGCATGTCAAGCAGGTCCTATGCAAGAACAAGCTGAGAGTCCCTCCGCAGCATCCCAGGAACAGGAACAAGCCACCCACAGTCAAACGTCAGCCCGCCTACCTACCATATGTGAAGGGAGTTACAGATAGAATTAGCAGAGTCCTAAATCGAGCTTCTATTGACACAATTTTCAAGCCGCACAAGAAGATTCAGCAATTCCTGAAACCAAGCAAGTGTACTATCCCTTTACAAGATGCAGGCGTTTACAGACTGGATTGTGATTGTGGCCTATCCTACATCGGCCAAACAAAGCGTAGCATCTCAAACAGAATTAAAGAACACGTCGCGGATATAAAACATAAACGTCTCTCCAAATCTGCGGTATGCCAACACTCATCAGAAGGGCCCAATCACTACATTCGCTTTGACCAACCAAAAATCCTCGCAAAGGAGAGTCGATTTTTTCCAAGATTGGTACGCGAAGCAATTGAAATCAAAAAACACCGAAATTTCAATAGGGAGGACGGCCTCAAACTATCAAACACCTGGGATCCCATATTAAAAACTCTGGATCCCAATAAACAGCATACCAGCAAACGCGAAGACACCGTTAGTCAATTCTGTAAGGACCCGGCCAGTTTCGCCAAATACCAACTTCGACGGAACAGATGGCGCTAGCGTAGCAATTCTTTACTTTGACGTCTGAGACATCCTCCATCTTTAGTCTCCCCGTGACCACGGCTGCTGCAAAGCATCCGAAACGTCGGGCCGAAGTTAAAAATCATTTTCAAATAAGTTTAACTAATATATCGCGTTTTAAACCGTTAAAGTGTTTTATTTAAATACTTTTAAACCGTTAAAAATACGAACCAAGTATATGGTTTTAAGGTTTTATATACAAAACAGAAACAATTAATTTATATAGTAAGAGTAATATTGTATGAATTTATCTCATACTATGTAGCTCAAAGCGGAAGCTAAGCAAGCTAAATTAGACGCGATCCAGAAGGACTTAGCAGCTAAAGAACAGAAGAAGAAGGAAGCAGAACAGCTCTTCCGCCTGCGGTGTAATCCGCTATCCGATCCTGGCTACCAACCTAACACTTCTCTTGTCATGACAGATGTTGTTGATGTAAGCGTTGAAGATCCAATTTTATCAAGGAATTCTCTCTGCACTCTCCACTCGTTTTTATGATTTTCCAGGAGGGGTCTACCATGTATAGTGTAACTTGGCAAAAGCCTACAACATATATGGCTAATTTCAAACCATAGAGAACTAGTGATGCCCTTTTATAGAGTGTTCTTGTTACCACAGGTGACAGGGTTAAATAATTCTTTAATTATATATGGACTAAACGACCCTAATTAATATATATTACCTTCTATTGTCGTTGACTATGCTTATATATTCCAGTGTCTAAAAGTGTTTTTAGGGTACATCAATGTAAACGAGAAAAATCACGATTTCTAGTACATTGTGTTTGTTTACCAAAATGACAAGTTAGAAAAAATACACTAGATATATGTAAGTGTTTATAAAAAAATAAAAAAATTTCAAAAAACGTCTTGGACTCGGGAATCAAAGTCACTACCGTTGTTTTTTACCCTTACATCTACTTATAAGGTTTAAATTAATTCTGTAAATAAAATAAGCATTTTCACCAGGCAATGCAAAAATACCAAGCGGCGTGGTCTCTGTACGATGACTTTCCACCATACGAGGTTCCAGAAGCCTACTTCGGGTACATGCAGGCTATATTAACGGAGGACATCATGGGGCAGATCCACGTGGACTGCAGGAAATATGTGGATCAATTAATGAAGTACTTAACCACGCTTTCAAAATATACTAATTATCTACAAAAGTTGATACGGATAGAACTCGAAGCCACGGTGTTTTGTGATCTTACTACTTGAGTTACCGTGTCGACAAACGTCCTAAAAAAACGTTCGATTCCTGGGTAAACATTAATTTCCCAGGGCTCCCTTGAAGCACCGTAGAGGGTTGGTGGTGTGTTTAGTGGTTCTGGTCGGCTATACGATTTACCACACTCCCCACGTCTCACCTCCCCGACGTGGGCGTGCATTAGGCATTCACACCATCAGTAAAAAAAAATGGGTAAACATTATTTGTTTCAATTGAACAGAGCGAAGAAGTCTGATTAACTTGCATGTTCGATCAGTGAAAAGGATATAGTAATATGTCCGTTTCGTGCCACGTTGAAACTTATAAAAATTTTAGTCATAAGCTACTTAAAGCGTTTCTAACTTCAACTCATAATATTGCTGCCCCGAGCAACAAGAAGCTGACAAGAAGTCTAACGTACTGTCTGTAGTTTTTGCGAGTAGTACACATTTAAATAAAACACTATAACGGTTTAAAACGCGATATGTTTTAGTTAAACTTGTTAGAAAATGATTATTAACTAAGGCCCGACGTTTCGGATGCTTTGCAGTAGCCGTGGTCACGGGGAGACACGTAAACGTCGGGTCGTAGTTAAAAATAATTTTCAAACACTTGGTACTTCAAGATTTCCTATTTTTTTAAATAATATAACATATATCCAAAAAACAAAGAAATAGAGTTTATTACTTGTTCATAATATTATTTCGTTCTTATACGTACATACTTGGATTTTGCATAGAACTTGCCACTCGTTTAGATCTCCATTCTTTTTACGGCTAAGCAAAGCACAATTCTTGAACTCGGCTCCCCTTTCTTACATTTACGTTTTTGTTAGGATAACAATAAACCGTAAACAACGAAACGCCTAAAAAACCGCATATGAGTGTCTATTAATATGACTGTGGTCTGTTCCAGGTTAGACTTGAAACTGCTCATCAAAGCACAACAAGATATGTACAAGCTGGTCGGATGGAAGTTTCCCAAACTGCCGTCGAGGAAGAAACCAAAGGTCCAGCCTGTTCCCAAGCCTTTGAAGATCAATGATGCGCTGTTGGAGAGTTTCCACGTTAGTTGTATTCTAAATATAAATGTATATTTGTTTGTTTTTAATGATAGAGTAGGACAGACAAGTACGGGGTTCCCTTGACGGTGGGTAAAATACCCTAGCATCTAAATAAAATGCGCTGTCGGCCTATTTTGACTTTGGATATTCGAAAAACCACAGACTGAACCGTTTCATCTGTGGACGGTGGTTCGTGACCCGAACGGAATTTCGATGTTCCTACCAACCATTTATTATCCACATTTTGTGTTTCAGAAAAATTATAAATTGATTATAAAAATGATGGAGATGTAGAAATCGTACCCACGAACCGTTATTTATTAGCCGTATATTGTTGTCTATAGTTTACGCGAGTAGTACACATTCAAATAAAACACTTTAACGGTTTAAAACGCGATATATTAGTTAAACTTATTTGAAAATTATTTTTAACTTCGGCCCGACGTCTCCCCGTGACCACGGCTGCTGCAAAGAATCCGAAACGTCGGGCCGAAGTTAAAAATCATTTTCAAATAAGTTTAACTAATATATCGCGTTTTAAACCGTTAAAGCGTTTTATTCAAACGTATATTGTTACTATTACACCAATGATCCTGTCGTTTATATGTATGTCATTGTTAATTAACATATTAAATAGGTTTAGTATTTTAAACAAAACACTTTAATAAATGTTTAAGTCTGCTGCTTAGCATTTAACATATCATCGTCGTTAAAGTAAATTGTAAATAAGCGAATACATTTCGCGTTTCAAACCGTCACGTGTTTTATTCAAATTTCTACTACTACTAGTTTGAAGTGGATAAATTTAATGGTAGCATACACGAATTTTGCTAGCTAAAGTACACATTTAAATAAATATTTTTTAACGGTTTGAAATGCAAAATATATTAGTTAACGTATTTTAACTATTCGCTGTGAAGTACAAGACGTTTCGGGTCATAGTTAAAACAAGTTAAGAACGCGTTCAACATAACATTGATAGAATTTTATTTTTTATAGTGAGTTTTTTAGTTTTATTTAGTGCTTGTTTATTTTAACTATTCTCGAGTTTGTGATATCATTTATATAATATGAGTTTTAATCCTGTATGTTGTGTATGCAATTTGTATTGAACCACAATTCTCAAACGAAACTTTATACATTTTCATTAGTATATTATATTCATGTTAAACTTTTCAGCGAATATTCGACCTCGGCCTAATTTCGAAGCCAACTAGCAAACTAAACGATATCATTGGAGATTTCAGTTACTACGCGTATGACGTTAATATTAGGGACCCGGATGCCAAGTAACTTTTACCTTTATACTAATATATAAAGCTGAGCTTGTTTGTTTGAACGCGCATCCTTTTAGAACTACTGGTTTAAATTGAGGTTCCTATTATGTTGGCTAAACCGTTAATCGTGAAAGGCTTTAGGCTAACGTTGCGACGTTGTAAAGAAACAGTGGAAGGAGCAAATTCTCTCGAAGTCTGTAAGGACCCGGCCAGTTTCGCCAAATACCAACTTCGACGGAACAGATGGCGCTAGCGTAGCAATTTTTACTTTGACGTCAGAGACATCCTCCATGTTTAGTGTCCCCGTGACCACGGCTGCTGCAAAGTATCCGAAACGTCGGGCCAAAGTTAAAAATAATTTTCAAATAAGTTTAACTAATATATCGCGTTTCAAACCCTTAAAGTGTTTCATTTAAATGTGTACTACTCGCGTAAACTATAGACAGTATTTAAAATTCTCTCTTCTACATCTTTAAATGAAATAAAAATTAAAAATATGTATAAAGGATTATTTGACTTTAAACGATCTACAAAAAGTCCATGGCAGTTTGTCTAACTTTTAAGACTAACACAACAACTACATCTAGAACTTATAATATCTAGAATTTATAATGCTAAGCAGGTTGTTTGAAAAATTAAATTTTCAAGCCCATATTAAATATTTCACGCGGATGAAGTCGCGGCCTCGACTAGTTTGTTATATTTCATGACAGCGAACTGGTTTTCCCCCGCTCTTTCCACATTTTCGATAACTATTTTATCCCACACAAAAATAATAATTCAATTCGAACCAGTAGATCCTGAGATTAGCGCGTTCAAACAAACAAACTCTAGCTTTATAATATCAGAATAGTTACTCACCTTATAGCTTTTTGTATAAGTAAGGTAGATCTTAAGCGTACGTGTAAAGTGGCTTAATTTTAATAATACTTTCTTTAAAACAGGTTTCCCTCGCCTGGTTACGCTGACGTAAAACGTAGATTGACACTGTCTTGCATTTACGGTTCGGGGATCGAGCCCGGTGCGGTCAGGAATCGAGCTGTGATGTTGCTAGGACCGCAGAGGAATGGAAAATCATTTCTAGTGGACACTGTTTGTGGTGAATTAAGTAAGAGATTCCTACTAGCGTTAATCTTAAATTGAAATACTGTCTATAGTTTACGCGAGTAGTACACATTTAAATAAAACACTTTAACGGTTTAAAACGCGATATATTAGTTTTGTCCCCGTGACCACGGCTGCTGCAAAGCATCCGAAACGTCGGGCCGAAGTTAAAAATCATTTCCAAATAAGTTTAACTAATATATCGCGTTTTAAACCGTTAAAGTGTTTTATTTAAATGTGCACTACTCGCGTAAACTATAGACAGTATTTATCCTAGCATCTAAACAAAATGCGCTGTCGGCCTATTTTGACTTTCGATATTCGAAAATCCACAGACTGAACCGAAACGCGATTAAACTTCACGGCTTTTTCATTTGTGGACGGTGGTTCGTGACCCGAACGGAATTTTGATGTTCCTACCACCCATTCACCATCCACCCATCCACATTTTGTGTTTCAGAACAATTATAAATTGATTATAAAAATGATGGAGTTGTAGGGTCGAACCCACGACCCGACCTTTCGGATGCTTTGCAGCAGCCGTGCTCACGGGGAGACGTCGGGCCGAAGTTACAATCATTTTCACATAAGTTTAACTAATATATCGCGTTTTAAACCGTTAAAATGGTTTATTTAAATCTTAAATTTAGTGACTTTGAGTCTCGTCGGTCTAATGTTAGCAAAGTGTGGCTAACAGGTTGTGGGTTTGATCTCCGCCGGGTCCAACATGGGTCCAACATGAAATGCGTGGGAGGAAAATAGAATTTCCATCCGAGTAACGAGCCACTATCCACAGATGATAAAGCCGTGAAGTTTATTCGCGTTTCAGTTTCAATCTTTAGATTTCAAAAGTCAATGGGCCCACCGCGCATCTTAATTATGTGTTATAGAATTGGTTTCATTCGCTTTTCATCAAATGCTTGTGTGTTACACTACGTTATTTGTTTTTGGCACGAACGGAGATTGAACTCCACGCCCTCACCAATAAAAACCACAAGGTCGCAGATACCACTAATGCTTATTGAAAAATGTGAATCCAGATGCAGTTAAAATAGACATAACTCCTGAGTTATTCAGCGCCCAAATCGACAAACCAGCCAAGGCTTTGACGGAAGTGTTTTTGGCGGCAAAGGCTTTTCAACCTACCGTCATTTATATGAGGAATATTGAGAGGGTATTTTGTAAAAAGGTAATTGTATAAGACTATGCATAGTATGGAGTTTTAGTCTGCAGTTAACGCGAGTACCTACTACACATTTAAATAAAACTTAACGGTTTAAAACGCGAAATATATTAGTTAGACTTCTTTACAAGTTTTACCGTCTAGCGCAATGGCTAAGCGTGTTCCCTTAGACTCTGTTTGGCGCGAGTTCTGGGTTACTCATACTTATTGTCTGTAGTTACGTGAGTCGTACACGTTTGAATAAATCTTTTTCAACGGTTTAAAAACGGAAATATATTCGTAAACTTATTTGTTATTTTAACTACAAATAATAGTCATTGGTATTTGGAAAACTACTTGGTGTTTTTTTTTGTTTTTGCCTGTCCTGATTAAATATTATACCTCCAGGTTCCACCCGAAGACAAATATTTACAAGCAAAGACGCTTGCCGCTCCGCTGAGTAAACTCGTAAAACAAGTGCTTCCGAACGACAAGATAATTTTTATTGGTATGTCAACGTTATCTTTGCACACTTCTAAATGGCTTGACAAAAGTTGATGAAATTTTTCTGTCAAGCTGACATGGCTTAAGATTCGAACCAATATTTTTCACTTATTTATACCTTTCTTGTAATATCTGTTCAAGATTTCTAAAACTTCAAAATTGTGTATTTATAATTAATTGAGCTACCGTGTCACATAGATAAAGGGATATTGAGGTTTGAGTCCAACTCGTGTCATAAACTAATCAAATATTTATGCTTTTTTGTATATGTATACTTATATAATAACTAAGCTGTGATGTATAGTGAATGTATTAAGTATACATGGCGTAGCTTAATAATTTGTAGACTCTAAAAGTTAGTTTCACTCTATTCTTTATTTATTTCAGCTACATGCTCAAATCCCCTTGTAGCTCAAACGAAGCCAATGGTATCTTTATTCGATGAAATAATATTAGTGCCGAGGACGGACTACAACAGCCTCCGGACATTTTTCTATGACCGACTGCAAAAGTAAGGAAGAATTAGAGACCTGTGAGATACTCTGTTATGCCAGCTATAGTACAAGATGCACTGTCGATCTGTTTCTCTTTTCACGTTGGAAAACAGATTGACTGAAACCGACTTCATGCCATTTCCATCTGTATATGGTGAAAATTCAAAATTAGATACGCGCTAGGCTTCGTCTAGATTTTCCATTGAAAAATGTTTCAGAAAATTATGAAATATAAAAAAACATGTCTGACTGATATGCTCTAAATAATATTTGAACTTGGTGTTGGTTAATCATCTTTTTTAGGATTAGAAGCATGCCTCGTGATTATTGCGTACAAGCATTGGCCCATGTCCTCCAGGGTTACGGGTTCGGAGTCATTATCGAAGCTTTTAACAGGGTTCTCACACCCGAAAGGATAGTCAAGTAAGGATTGCTAAGTTATTAGATGCAGAGAGGGAGTTAATTTTATTTCAGCTCCAGTATGGTTTAAAAATTAAAAAAAAAACACCCATCTCACTCTATGGGGTATGGGATACATATCTGTGTTTCTTTCACAGAGGTTCGACCGATTAAAACACTATATTGTTTCCCCTAGATTCTAACCTTTACCTGTTGTGTTAAGCGACACGAGTACCAATTGTTCTACGGCGTATTATCACATAAATATGATATTTATTTACTTACCATGTCGCAAATTACTGTTTGTTTATTTCTCATAAAACCTACATTAGCAAACCTATTAAATCTTCCAGACTGAATGTAACCCCACTCTCCCCTGCGGAATTCTTGGACCTTATTTTTGCAATAGGGGTTGAAGCCACGAGCATTGAAGTGAGTAGTTGAAAACATAAAATTCAAATAGTTTATCTAATTATAATAATAAGAAAATTATATAGACCGCGAGCCAGGCCTTTTAAGACTTTCAGTTCTCGAAAAACATAGTTAAAACAGGTTTCTACTTGTTAAGACCCACATCACATGTTTTATCATGTGATATGGGTTCACATGTTATCACATGTTTTTTTCATGATAGACGAGGACAGAAAAGCATGAGGTCCACTTATTATTTATGTTATTTAGCCCCTGGCTATATTTTGGCTTCAGATATTCGGGAAATTAACAGAAGCCAAGAGGCAATTTGTCATCCGTGCAAAGTCATTCGTGACCCGGACGGAATATCAATATTCCTACCATCATATATCCAGACTTCCAGACGAAGTCCAATATGTTATAGAAAAGTTACAATTTGATATTGTCTATAGTTTACGCGAGTAGTAAACATTATAAAACACTTTAACGGTTTAAAACGCGATATATTACGGCTGCCGCAAAGCATCCGAAACGTCGGGCCGAAGTTTAAAAATCATTTTCAAATAAGTTTAACTAATATATCGCGTTTTAAACCGTTAAAGTGTTTTATTTACAATTTGATTTCAAAAATGTGGTAGCCGGTGGGGATCGAACCTAAGACCCGTGGTAGCTACCATTACACCAACAAGGTCGTTGAAATGTAATGTAAAAAATATGTAGAATTTGATTAATCAGGATGGCGTTGCTCGATAAATAGTGCTACCGTCATTTTTTTCATTGTACACATACATGTCTCTCTTACAGTGTATTGTCAACCTTAATGCGTACGTTTAGGTTCGATATCATATGCAACCGAGCGAAAGAATGTTTTTTGACATACTGTTAAATTATTTTATTTGTATTCAAATCGATTTTCACCATATAGCGGATGTCATTGTTTAGAAAGGAAATTGAATATTTTTGCGTGTTTGATACAGTTTACTAAACAGTAATATAACATTAGTTTTTAAGGTTTGCACGTTCAAACAGACCTTACAGTAATACGTAAGTAGATTTTATTGTATAACCCCCCCCCGCCTCTGTACAGCAAAAGTAAGGAGAACTATATTACTAAGATAAGTACAGGACAACGACCCACCGGGACGGACAACGGCCGACAGCAAATCTTTATATTATTATTAAGAAGATACATTTGTTGTATAGTTTAAATGAAGTACTTTAACGGTTTAAAACGCGATATATTACTTAATGCGAACTTATTTGAAGATACGGTCTATAGTTTACGTGAGTAAAGACATTTAAATAATATATCGCGTTTAAACCGTTAAAGTGTTTTATTTAAATGTGTACTACTCGCGTCAACTTTAGACAGTGTTTGTTGTACAGTGTTTTATGTAAATACTAAGCTATGTTAACAACAATCGTCTCTTTGTTTATAGGACTATAAACAATATGTCGATTTCTACATCGCCAACTCGCCCTTGGCAACTGAGCGACCGGAGTTCGAAAAAATAAATAGCATAAGAGCTATACTTTACGAGAAGTTGGCGAAAGCGGCGAAAAGCAAGCGAAGTACAATTATGTGATTGAAATTAACGAATAAGCTAGGACGAAGGAATATTATTAAATATATTGTATATAAACGGTTTGTCATTTCAGTATCTGTACTTAAATTATACACATAATAGGCGATAAGGCCGCCTTTGCACGAACATGTTTTATTTTTTACATATTATAATTCTAAGTATCTATGTTCTTATGTCTATGTTTGTGCTATAAAGAGTTTTTATTATTATTAAAATACTATGACAGAGCAGAAGAGAACAACACGATGGCTAGGGCCCTCATCACGCAAGCAATACGAGTGGTTAATATTGTACACCAAGGAGTTGACATTTTCACGGGGTATTGGAGTAAAACAGCAAATATCATTCTTAACGTAATTGCAACTAGAGGTGATGAAAACTATTATTAAAACTTATTTTTCATATTTTTTCTTATATCATTGTATTAATGTCGAATTGGATTATATCTCTAATGGCCGCATATATTTGTGTAAATAAATAAATAAATAACTAGAATTTCACTAAATCCAAGGTGAAATATCGCAGCCCTGTAACATTTACTTAAAACGCGCTTATAACCTGATCTCTCAGGTCATTAGACATATTAACAAAAAAAAAATTAAAATTACTTCATACATTGGTTGGACCAAAGGGCTCTCTGGTCCAAACCCGACGATACTCCAAACTAGAACTGGCAAGAAACTCGCCGCCACTTTCTATCGTCTCGATTCTCTGTATGAAACTTTATTGTTGAATTTACGAAAGAATAACTTTTGTGGTCAAAGGATAGAGAATCTAAGAAGAGGTATAACCGTCATCTTTCACATCAAATACGAACAAATATAATAAAATAAAAATATTAATTTAAACTGAGTAGCGATACAAAAAAAAATGATTTATCATCTATTTTACATAACACAATTTAACGGTTACAAATGCGAAATATATTATTTAAGTTATTAGATAGTTAATGTATCGTGTTTTAAACCGTTAAAAGTGTTTTTTTTTTTAATATACTATTCTCGTAAGCAGACAATACTCATTTACTCGACTTTTTTTGACACGAATATTTCACCACAAGTTCCAAGATTAGTGGGAATAATTCGGGCTCTTAGACTATGAACAAAACAACACATATGCATAGTCCCTCAATCACGTGATACGGACATTTGTATAAACCAATTTCGTGAAGTTAAAACAATAACTCGGTGTTAAGCCATTGTTTAAGAAAAATATGTGCTTATTTTTGCACGAAAGCAAATTCGTTATGCAATAGGCTATATAAAATTCCGATGTCACAATATAACATACTATACTCTTGAAGTAGACATTTAATTAAAACACTTTTAACGGTTTAAAATGCGAAACATTAGTAATCTTATTTAAATTCATTTTAATCATAGTTAACCAACGATTGGCCTCACGTCCCCCGTGACCATGGCTCTTGCAAAGCATCCGGATCTGTTTTGTTACAAGATTCTGTAATTTACGCGCTTAGTACACATTTAAATAAACCACTTTTATAACTAGTACATTTTGCGCTTTAAACCGTTAAACGTGTTATATTTTCTATTATTAAATAATTTGACATACTTAGTATCCCGAGTATACACGTAATCATTAATTAAATACTCAACGTTGTCCCCATGACCACGATTGCTGCAAAGCTTCCAAAACGTCGGGTCATAACTTTGAATCACTTATTACACAATACATTGTTTTAAACCATTAAAAGTTGTTTCATGAACATAATCAGCTTTAGCTTCGCCATTGTCGAATACGCCTGTTTTAAATCTACAGTGTGCAACCGGCTTATATAGAAAATTGTGTATGTTTCAACTTAAACATGGACTGGTATTTTCATTAGTCGGCATTGTGCTTCGGAGCGCTACATAACATCGTTCGATTAATTACGTTTTATTTATGTAAGTGTTTGAAATTTTAATGGGTCTAACACGTTATGGTTTATTGTAATCATACAATTGGTCACGTGACTATGAGCCTATAGAAAAGTAAGGTAAGCGTTTGGAATGTATGATAATACTAGCTTAATCAGCGACTTCGTCCGCGTGGAATTGTTATTTTCAGCATAGAAGTTTTTGCAAACCGCCTCTCCATCTTCTACCGCGTTACCCGCGACGTCGGTCGCGTCCCGTCGGTGTTACAAGTTAATCCTAAAAGGTCATTTTTTTAGATCATTTAAAAAGAAATTCTTTCGTACATATTTTTTGGATATCTAGAACCGTTTTCCCATAATTTTATACTGTCTATAGTTTACGCGAGTAGTACACATTTAAATAAAATACTTTACGGGTTTAAAACGCGATATATTAGTTAAACTTATTTAAAAACTAATATATCACGTTTTAAACCGTTAAAGTGTTTTATTTAAATGTGTACTACTCGCGTAAACTATAGACAGTATAGAATTCGTACTGTCTCGTATTTTTTTAAAGCCCACACTTAAAACTGTGGTGGCTATAAGTTGATAAGCCCTCTGTGGTATGAGAGACCTCAGTAGAAGAATGGTCCTACTTTGGCTTAGAACATGGTCACATAAACTATATTTTACCCTAAAAAAAATTGATTATACAAAGAGAGTTATACGAATTTGCTATTGTAATTAGCTATTAAATAACGGAGATTCAAACCTAGACCTCAGAGTTGATCATCGTTCAAGTGAATTGGAGCAATTCGGTTGATTTGCGAGAGGTGATAGTGACATTTGGTCCATTTAGGTCGGGTTATCTAAATGGGTTGCAGACGCAGAGCACTGTACATTATTGTTTTAAGTAGAAATTGACTTCAGTGCATGATGATATAAGGGAGAGGTATAATGTAACATTTTATAACATAGCAATTTTTATAACATGCATCCGAAACGCCGGAAACAAATTAAAATAATTTTGCAAATAAGTTTACCTAATATAATTCGTGTTTTAAACCGTTAAAGTAATTTATTTAAATAAAACGCGTTCGCCCCATGCACCAGGGGGGCAACGGGATTGCACTACCCCACTTCTACCCCATGAAGCGCTAAAAACTATCGCTTCAGCCGAGTGCTTTTCAATAAACTTACATTTGATTAGTAAGTTGGAATAGTAGAAGTTTGGGAATTTATGTACTTAAAACTGTGTAGTTTCCGAGAGTTTACATAAAGCACTCTTAACGGTTTGAAACGCGAAACGTAGGATAGTTCAAATACACCTTCTGCGAGCTGGTGATGCTGGAGAAGGAGGCGGCTGAAAAAGCAAGAGCGTTGGGGTCCAATGACCCACTGCGAGCGGCTACACAGGGATCATGGTTGGGCACCTCCAAGATCATCCCTAATCTCGCTTCCGCCTTGTCTAAAATGGGCATTGGTGCTGGAAGCTTTCGAGTCGTACAAACATGTTCCCAGGGCTCCTTCAAAGCAACATGACTAATATAACCAACACAAAGAATACACGTGTCTTCATTATAAATGCTTAATTAAAAAAAAACTACGTGAACATTATCGCTTTTTTTTAATTCTGAGGGAAGTATATGTGAGAATTGATAAGAATTTATGCGCAGTTAAAAAAAACTGTTTTGTTATTTTTCTAAAATTTAAGTATATCGAGGGTTAAATAAAACTTATTAATATTAAAATACACTTAAGGTATTATTTCACGACAGAGGAGGACAGACAAGCACAGGCTTCAGTTGATGGGGAGTGAAATACTTTAGCCTAATAACAAAAACATGATATTCAATGAGGTGGAAAAGAAAAATGCGCATTTAACTTAGAAGAAAATGATTTTTTCCTTTAAATAAAACACTTTAACGGTTTAAAACGCGATATATTAGTTAAACTTATTTAAAAATCATTTTCAAATAAGTTCAACTAATATATCGCGTTTTAAACCGTTAAAGTGTTTTATTTAAATGTGTACTACTCGCGTTAACTATAGACAGTATTTGATTTTTTCCTGTTATTTGTGTAAGAATTATGTAAATTTTCGGTCACTGTGCTCTTGTAGATAAACCTTTTTGGGACTATAAAAAATAGAAGTCGTAAAATTGCAGTTAGGCTACTCTGCCTCTTCCGATCTCATATACCTTTTCCAAATCAAAAGTGAAGCCTTATTTTGGCTTTGCACGCTTATAAATGATTGCCGACGGTTACACTTAACCGTTCTTACATTTGACGGAATTGAGATATTTATTTATTATATATAATCAATGTTTATAAGACGAAGTCCTTCAAGTTTCAGTTTTCATTGATTTGAAAAACATGTTGAACCCGAGGGAATCGAATCTACGATGTGTTGTACAATTTGTACCAAACAACATTTCCGTCTCCCCATTATATGTATTCTAATGGCCGACCGCTTGTAAGCCAAAGTCAAAATAGTCAAATTAAGTCACAAGCTGAAAATTGCTAAAATTGCGTTAAATACGTTTTATAGTATGTTTGAACGTATTATTTCAGGAACTACCAGTTCATCTTTGTAGGTTTCCGTTGCGCGCGCTGCGAAAACGGTTTAAGGTACCCAAAATTCGAATTTCGAACGAGGTTCGAATTTCAACAAAGACACTTTAAGGCTTACGCGTTGTCTAAGTGTCAAAATTTCCTGTCATTTTTCACTTCAAAATATTTGATCTAAGATACTATAACTTAAATGTTTTGATACAATAATGATATTTCAGACACAATGGACAATACGATGCACGGCTTTGACAACCAAGTTTTTGTTTTGAGCGAGACCAAAAGATCAAATTATGAAGACAAAAACGCATGCAATGAAGATATAACGAGAGAAAACAAGGTGTTGGATGTAAATGATCTTTTGTTAAACGGTAGAAAAGTGGATACTTTCGATTCTACGATTTTGAGATTTGAAGGTTTTATGTATAGAAGTTTTGATGAAAGGAGAAGGGCGAATATGAAAGATTTACTGGCGCAAGGTAAACTGTGAGTATAACTTTGTATTAAATAAGGTCCTAACTAATGTCCACTTTCCCATTCCCAGCCACATAATATATAAACAAATTTCGTCTTTGGATATTCGGAAATCCACGAACTGACACCGAAACGCGAATACTTGTCGGTTTTTAATCTATGGACGCAGTTCGTGACCCGGACGGAATTTCGATAGTCCTACCACCCAATTATTGTCCAGAATTCCAAACGTCATTCAAGATGATGAAGAATTATAATTTGATTAGAAAAATCGGGATCGAACTCACGACCCGTTGATATTAGCTATACATTGTTACCATTACATTGTGACTGGGTTAAAATACAACATGAATTAACAAGTATGTGACGCATTTGTTTACGCGAATCACGAAATAATACCTACAACTGATAACTGTGTTATTTATTAACATTTTCGCATTTTTCAATTTAAAATCCCCTAAAATACCGGAAGCATCTCTGTTTATATAACGTCTTGTTAAGTTTTAAAGTAAAATTATGGAAATATCTACTAATGCATTAACAATCAATTATAGTGTAGTGCACATGATATAGTGTTAGAAAAATCGACAATGACGTGTAGGATGCAGTAGCTCAATTCACTCACTAATACTGTTTATACACGTTATATTAGTCCTTACTTATATTATAAATGCGATGGTAACTCTGTCTGTCTGTCTGTCTGTTACTCTGTCACGCCAAAACTACTGAACGTATTTGAAATTTGGTACACAGATGGTCTAGACCCTGAGAAAGAACATAGGCTTTTTATTGCGAAAGGGGGGTTGTAAGGAGTTATAAGGGAAGTAAAAATTTGTATGGAAATTCGTGGTTTTTAAAGCTAGAACAATGAAACTTTCTTCTTTGGCTTTTTGAGAGTGGGAGTTAGAGTAGAAGTGATGTGAGGTGAGAGTGTTGCGGCAAAGTAGCACTTACAACATAGATTGGCTGCCATAAATGCGCACTTACATAAATTAATAAACAGCCTAAATAATTAAAAATTCTACCCCAAATCACTATTCCACGCGGACGAAGTCGCGGGCACAGCTAGTGTTTTAGTAAATGGATATGTAACTTAACACTAATATCAAGTTAATAACAAAATTTAATAGTGCCGAAAGTGTAATGTAAAAATGCGCTTACATTTTTAGTAAATTTTTTATGTTCTAATGGCATTTTAACTAAGATAACATAAGTGTTAAGGTTGAAATTACAATGCACGAAATATGTATGTATAAATATATTGCTACCATAAGACCAGCAAGCTAATCTAATGGTGGGAATCAAACCCACGACCGACGATCCACAAATTTGTTACCATTGAACCGACGAGGTATATACAAATTCAGCTACATATTACAAACGGATTGAATTATTCGTGAAATACCCACAGATGTCATAGATCTACATTATGAAGCTGAAGAGTTTGTTTGTTTAACCGCGCTAATCTCAGAAACTACTGACTACAGAAAAAATATTTGTGTTGGATTCGTGTCGGATGGAACATTTATTGAGGACGGGCCGCGGTCGACGTCGTGACAGTCGTCATGACATCTATAATTTATAAATACGAGGAGGTTACTATAGACAGTATTTACGAGGAGGTTTGCAAAAATAAATTTTGATTCCCATATTCTTTATGCGTACGAAGTCGCAGACACAGGCTCACTAGCTGAAGATACCGCTGCGAGTCTGTCACCAGGTTGTATTCTTGGAAATTGGTTGTGTGGTAGTGCGTTGTGGTTCTAAAGAGTAATTTTTATACTACTAGAACATCCACCTCAGAAATTAAGAGAGTGAATATCACAAAATGACTTGATGCGACTTATTGCGAAACACGAATGCCTGCCAAACGTTTTTAGCCAAATCTATTCTGTCCGCATTTGCTTTTTGCTTTCTTTCACGAAGTCTACCTTTATGTATCGTTGCATTCTTATTGATAATAAATATTATCACTTGCTGTGTCAGCGACTTCGTCCGCGTAGAATTTTGGACATCAAATCTGTTTTTGCAAATCTGCTCTTCATCTTCTTCTTTCTCTTCTTAAGCTGTTACCCGCGACGTCTGTCGCGTCCCGACGTTCCTGCAAGTCAAGCTTAAAAGATAGAAATATAGTGTCGCGAACATTTTTTATATCATTTAAAGAAGAATTATCCTTCCATACTTTTTTGCGTATCTTGAACCTTTGAATGTAGGCATCAGAATCTCACAAGCATTAACACAACAATAATTTTTCAATTCGAACAAGTACTTTCTGAGATTAGCGCGTTCAAACAAACATACAGGTTCAACTTTTATTTAATTTATAGATATATAATTGTTTGATCTGACCGCCTCTGTAGTCTAATGGATAAACGTATTGCCTGGCATTGCGTTAAGCCCGAGAGATCCTGGGTTCGAATCCCAGGGAAACAAATACTTGTTTCGGTCGGGCAGGGCACAGAAGTCTGATCAACTACTTGCCTGTTAAAGAACGGATCAGTAAAACGGACACAAAATGTGTTCGCCCCATGCCCCACAAGGAGGAAACGGGATTTCACTTACTTATAGAGATATATAAAAAAAAAACAATTTAAATGTAAAACACATATATTTCTTGTATATTACGCGTCACATATTTAATTTGACAATATATATATTTGTATATTACGTGTTTACTAAACCACAATTGTTCTGAATAAGACTATAATTATATAAAACAATGTTATCGTAATTCTGTAACGTTTATGGTGCCTTACTCAGCTAAACAAATGAATACTGTCTGTCGTTGACGCGAGTAGTACACAATTAAATAAAACGCTTTTAACAGTTTAAAACACGAAGCATATCAGGTAATATTATTAACTTAAACTTTTTTTAAAGCGAATACCTATATATTATACTAGGTCACATAATATTGTTCGGCAACATATAAAAACTACCTGTGTCAGCGACTTCGTCCGCGGAGAATGGTATGTGGGCATCCAAATTTGTTGTTCCTCTTCATCTTTATAAATTTAAGCTGTTACGCACGACGACGGTGGCGTCCCGTCGTTCTTGCAAGTCTATCTCAAGAGATAGACATATTTCTTTGCTCTTATAAGTCACGGCCTAAAGCCGTCCTCCTCCTATAAAGGTAAACCAACACAAAATTATTTTTTAATTCCAACCAGTAGTTCCAGAGATTAGCGCGTACAAACAATCGTAGAAGGTTAAAATTGTGAGTTGAATGTATGTTATTGCAATAAAATAATAAAAGGAAGAAAAGTCGAAACGAGAGTTAAATTGGGATTTATGGCAGAACGCTTTTTAAAGTGATATATTTATTTAACTTAAATTGAGTTATATCTATACTAATACTAGCTGACCTGGCAAACGTTGTTTTGCGGAGAGGAAAAATGATTAAATTACTAAAATGGCTATTAAAAAATAAGGGTTGATCGTAGAAGGGTGAAAATTGAGCATTGTATGTATTTTTGTATGTTGTAACATAAGACTATTTAAAAAGATTTTTTACTAAATACTGTCTATAGTTTACGCGAGTAGTACACATTTAAATAAAACACTTTAACGGTTTAAAACGTGACCCCATCTGCGGCAAAGCATCCGAAACGTCGGGCTGAAGTTAAAAATCATTTTCAAATGAGTTTAACTAATATATCGCGTTTTAAACCGTTAAAGTGTTTTATTTAAATCTGTAATAGTTTGTCGCCATTGTTAACAATAGTTATCAGTCAAAGTGTTATTGAAACACTTAAGTTCTTTTATGTATGAAGTAACCTATCAATGATAAGAAGTTGTCCCTCTCAATTGTTGAAATGTCAATCTATCTGTGAATATTGAAACGCAAAACTTCAAGAATTTTAACTGTCACGTTACGATTGTCACTTCTAGTTAAATGTAAGCTGAATATTGGGACCGGCCGTTAATGTCAAACGACACCAGCCTTAATGTTATCGCGTCCGGTCTGAATGTTTACTGAAACCGAACCGAAGCCTCACGGTGTTTCCAACTGTTCATGGAATTCCGGTATTCCTACAGCCTATTTAATATCCAGATTTCCAGCTTAGCTAAATAAAGTTGTTATTATTATTATTATTATCATTAGCCATACATGGCTACCATTAGACCAATGAGCCCCTCAGAATTTGTTCGTCACAATTCTTAATTTTGACTTATAACTACGGAACCCTGAATATAATCAATAACAACGTTTCAAGCTAGATGTTCTACATAATTATTTTCGTATAATGTCCCTAATTACAAAATGACATAACGGCTTAAATCCACAAACATTAAAACATAATATTTGACGACATTAAGAACGTTATTCTTTTCACTATCACAAAGCAAAGAGTAAAGTACAAAGCCACATAAAAAACAACTAACAAACCGTCATTGAAAAATGTTTTAAGAATTGCAAACTATGCGCTCATATGCGAATACAAATGTTCAAATGGTTCCGTATTTATTATAGAGGAGAACAGACCCGCATGGGGCTCACTCGATGAAAGGCCATATGAGACTAAGATGTGTTGTCGTACTAGCATACCGTATTGAAGGAATTTTCCTAATAAGAAACTAATGCATACGATATTAACTGTATAATAGCAATTTTCTAGTCGTCGACACATTTATTATAGAGACTTGTCTCCATTCATTTCATTACTACATAAATGCGCACACGCATAAAGGCAAAATAAATACGTAATGCATTTGTACATTATTCTAACGAGTATTTCATTGATAACAAGAGTCGAGACTGTGATAAAAATGCGCCGGTGCTTATATTATATTATATTTGTGTTTTCCGATTAGGCTAGTTGCGGAAAGGGCGCCAAACGCATCGAACGTGCGCGAACGTTTACGCGACGTTGTTCGTAATTTAAAAAACTGTCAAACCGCGCGCGAAATTTGACAGGTCGAAAAGACTCGTCCGTGTGAAAAGTTTCCAGCAAAGAGGTTTTAATGCGTTTGGAGTTCCAGTGAATTTGTTGTAAAGTGATTTTGCTAGATAGT